TTTTTAATTACAAAATTTTATTAAATGAAATACAAATTTAATACAAAAAATTAATATAATTAATAGTGGGTGTTATTTTTCCGACTCTTAGAGGGTAGTCAAGCTAACTCATCCCAACCAATGAACCACAATCCAATTTCATAAAGGTTTCTGTTGGCATTTGGCAATATCAATAGATCATCGTCCATCCGATATGCACAATATTCCAATGCATTGCTTCCGTCCAGTAGGGGTGACATTCGATCGGTTCAGTTTGAACCGAATCGAAAAGATGCATACCGGTATTCCGATTCCTAGCAAAGGCCAAACCGATTCCGAACTGAAATATTACTCGGTTCGGAACGGAAAATCCGAATTCCGATCTTCTCCCATTCTCTCTATTTCTTCTTTGCTGACAAAAGACACCCCCCCCCCTACAAAACCTACTTTTCCCTCTTCCTGCTCAGACCTCTCCCACTTTGTTATAAACGCGCTGCTACAGATCGGGAAATCGCTGGAATCGACAAAGCAAGAATACGAAAGCGAGAATCGAAAACACGACACACGATTTACGTGGTTCACTAACACGATGTGTGTTAGCTACGTCCACGGGCGAGAGAGAGCCGATTTCACTATATTGAGGAGATTACAGATTACAGAGGAGTATGAGAAGTATTTATAGTACTTCTCCATGTGGGCTGATAGTCCGATTCAAGTCACATCAACACACTTTCTCTTCTTTCTTCCCTCTCTGTCGCAACACCAGAAACAGAGATCAGGCTCCATCCGTCGCCGACGGCAGCCTTGGCGAGTCCCTTCGTCTCCATTCGGCGTCTCGTTGTGCTCTTTCTTCTTCCCTGTCCAGCCGCAACATAAGAGATCTGCTCCTCCTGCGAGTCCCTTCTTCTCCTATGGCGGCCTTTTCACTCCCGCAGAGTCCCTTCTTTTCCCCCGGTTGAGTTGATTTCCCCCCGCCGTTGAGGTCGTGCTCCGCTGTTTCGTCGCCAATCGCCCTCTCCCATGTCGTCCCTTTCACTCCCGCTGTTTGCATGTGGTTATCGCCCATCTGAAATCAAACATCGGCAACAAAAGCAACTTTGATGGATCGATCTGGTCTCCCTTCCACCGTCACCGCCATGAAACCTAGCTGACCCTATACCGTCGAGCTTCTGCCAGACCCCTTCATCCTGACGCCGATGACGATGTGGGTGACGAAGAGACGGAAGAAGGTAGTGAACCGGAATTTGATGGCGGAGATGAGCTTCACGGGTTGGCCGTAGAATCCGTGGGGCGAGCGTTTCGATTGGGAGTTTGAGTTCATCGTCATCATGGTGGTGGGGAAGTGAACTGATCAGAGGATTGGAAGTCCAACTGGGCTAGGATGGGGTGGAGCGGCGGACGGGAGAGGAGGGATTTGAGGCGGTGGCCATGAGAGGAGCTGATTGTTTCGAGATGAGGATATGGGTGGGAGGCGATTGCCAAAAGATGTGTTGGGCTTAGGGTTTTGGTAGGAATGGGTTGAGTCTTGAGTAATGTTTGGGCTTCTGGAGTGGAGTTTGTTGGGCTGTACCTTGTGGGAGAGAGTGGGCTGCCAGTTGGGCTTTGGGAGAGGGTGAGTAATCAGTTGGGCTATGAGAATAACTTTGGTTCCGAACAACAAAAGTTCGGTTTCGGTTCGGTGTAACTTTGGTTCGGTCCGGTTCGGGTCTGGTTTACCAAACCGGATGCCCACCCCTACCGTCCAGCAATCCGATCCCATTCTTCTGCATGTTGAGATGAAACTAAGAATGTGGATATCCTCCTCCTCATCCGTTGCCAAAACCTAATAAGCACAAGGACGCCACACAGTGGCGGAGCCACTTGGAGAGGAGGGGGTACTTGTAGGAGTGGGCATTCGGTCGGTTCGATTTCGACCGAACCGAAATTATGAATACCGGGTCCCTGAATTCTCCCAAACCTCAAACCGAATTCGAACCGAAATATAATTCGGTTCGGTCGGTTTAAACCAAATTATAATTCGGTTCGTTTTTCACACAAAACCGAATTTGTGAAGCTACTTGTATTTTCTCACTTTTAAATATTTTTCACCCCTAATATAAACAATAAATATCAATTATATGCATCATCAATGATAAAACCAAACTTTTCAACACATAAGTCATAAAATATTTCAAATATTTAAGTCTAAAAACAACTACAAACATAAAAATCCACCATTTGGAGCTTGCAATTATAGTATTTCGGTTTTTCGGTCGGAAAATCGGTTCGGTTGAAAGAACCCTGATTTCCGAACTATCCATATTTTCCTTCCGAATTCCGAACCGAATAGCATTAATTCGGTTTCAGTTTGGTTTAATTCGGTTTCGGTTCGGGTTTACCGAACCGTTTGCCCACCCCTAGGTGCTTGCACCCCCTTGGGTTTGGGGGAAAAAATTCTCCAGTAGGGGGTATATACAAATTCGAACCAATGACCATTTAGTTGCAAGAAGAATTCTTTACCATCTCGATCGAGTGAGTTTTGTTATGCAATGCACTTTCTTCTTTACTTATAGTAATAAATTGTTGTCTTTTGTTTAAACTTGCTCATTTCTTTTGTAGTTCTACAACAGAGGAATTTGTTGTCTTTTGTTTAAACAAAGCTGAAAGTGAAGAAGTACCAATTGAAGTTCACTTGTTTGTTTCAAAAAAATCAATTCCAAGGTACTTCTGAGTTCTAATTTGTAATATTTGATGAATGGAAGTCTTGACTTGTATGTACTAATCTTATTTGTTTGACGTTGTAACCTGTGTACGTGAAACTATTTTTATGTAATTGTATGAATTTAGAGTATTGCGTAGTTGACTTTTCTATTATATATATGATTTTTTATGATATGATAAAGACACCCCCTTGCCAATTTTCTGGCTCCGCCACTGACGCCACATCCACATGCACGAGCTAGCGATTAGTCACTGGGTCTAAGGCTGAAAATTCATCTGATTAGGGCTGAAAATTCGTCTGACCCATTTTTTATTATGCCTGACTCGTCACTCAAGGATCAACTTATATAACTGATTCGGCTAGTCATTATTTTTATCTAATCCTATCTGACTCTCTATGATCAGGGCAAGACAGGTGGGGCCATCTTAGTTGGTCGGCTCAAATAAACAGAGTGATATTTTGAAAATTATATTTTGGTATCATAATTAAATTCTCATTTTTTTACAAACATGTCAATAATTTTTGGTGGTGAAGTTATGTCGGTATCTTTATATTTTCTACTTAACCTTAAAGCACCTAACTTTCCAAAAATTCACAGATATTTCCAACGTGTTGGTATGAGAAAATTCATATTACTAGTTGTTGCTATATGTTATAGGGCCAAAAAATGACCCGACTTTACCTAACCCATACAAAATCAAATGATAAACCGAACGAATCTAAAGTCAGTAAAACTGTAGACAAACCGACTCAGCCAAACACTGAATTCGGGACGTTCTACGGTGGAACTTTACACCCCCCTAATGGCCATTATTGATCTTATCTACTACATCAACCCCTTTCTTTCGCGACTCCAATGGCTTGAATTCTATCTGATCGAGTCTCCTTCAACAAAAAGAGGGAAAAAATATGCCAAGAAACTCCGAATGCCACATGCATGTGTGAATAAAGAGATTTCGGTAATTGACGGGATCGGCATATGCTTCACTTGGTGCGGTGTTCTGTGTTCATTGGTGTCGATGGTAAAGCAGAGCACTACTGAGCTGATCATCCATCGATCATTCGCAATCTAGCTCAGAGAGCCACCCACTCTTATTATTCTTTTTGCTTCTTACAGCCTTTTAGTTTGTGGACTAGCCATGGAGTGATATGTTGCATCATTCCCACTATATTATGTTTGTTATAAAATTGAATCTAGGTTTTATTGGAAGTTGATTCAGTTTGGATTTCAACTATGAAATCAATCTACCAACTAACCATAAGGAAAAAAAGCACCGAGTATTTATATAGTCTAAGCTAGTTGCTAGTGGGAACTGAATAGATAATCCTCATTAAGATTGTACATTTTAAACGATGTATGATTTATAAGCGAACCTCTCTTAATAATTTGAGTTATTGACATCAACTGGTTCTTGATATGCTATCAGAACTTTCTGTAGCCGAGATGTATCCTATTTGAATCCAGGTGACCACATCTGTTCCGCTAAGCACATGGTACTCGGACATGTGCAAACTTTAAGCCCATATGAGTCGATATTTTTCGTTTTAGCGGCTGTTTTAGTATGATTCATAATTGGACCCCTTCCAACAATTTGAGTATCGAAATCAAACTGGTTCTTGCATGATATCAAAGTCTTATGTGACTGATAGGTCTTCTGTTTAAAGACCAACAACAATACTTGTTAAGAACATGGTATTCAAATATGTACAAATTTGAAACGATGCCTTTGGTGTTAGAGACAGAATGTGTGTCAAGAGGTGGGTTGTCACTTGTCAGTTGTCACCCGACCCGAATTAGCAAGAAAATAAAGGTCGGTCCCAATGTAGTTAAAATCGCGCTTAAAAACTTAAAATCTTACGCTTTTACCTTTTTAGGTCACCAAAACGCTTCTACGTAGAATCGTGATTTTTTCTTACAAATGTAGTCAAAATCTACGCTTTAAAACTTAAAAACTTACGATTGTACGCTTCTAGGTCACCCAACCGTTTCTAGGTAGAATCGCACTTTTGACTGCATTGGTCGGTCCTATGTGTAATTACTAATTAGCACTTCCCCGAGTGGAAACCGGCAACAAACTGATAAAACGGTAGGGCATTAGGCGGCATACGACGAGGCAGTAACCCAACACACAGTGACGTGTACGTTGTTAACAGGTTCGGAAAAGCTCCACTGGGAAAAGTTGTTAGGCATTTGGTACGACGACGGCTTCGAAACGAAACGTACCGGCGAGAGAATTTCTTTCCCACAAAAGTAAAGTAAAAAGAAAACCAACAAATAAATTAAATAAATAACGGAGATAACAGACAGACATGGCCGCACCAGGACTATAGTTTATCTGGGTGCCAGAAGAGATTGTTAGAGAGACGGAGAAGAAGGAGAAGGAGAAGGAGAAGGAGATCTATCTCTTCGCCGCCGCAGCAGGAATTCAGCTCCGCCGCGTCTCTTCCGCCGGAATGTTCAATTACCCGGCGGAAGAATAATAAGGAAATTTGAAGAATCCAGAATCCTGAAAAGGCGATAATTACAATGACGCCGCGGCAGGACGACTCCAAGGAAGACGAAAAAGACGGCGAATCCAACCGGCTGCTACCATCGGCGGCGTCTCCTTCATCGGACGGGGAAGAATCCGAGGAGGCCGCGTACGAGGCGCGGGACAAAATCGCGATTGTAGATGTGGACGAAATCCCCGGATCGGCCGACGGGCTGCCCTTGGATTACGTCCCGCCATTCTCGTGGAAGAAGCTCTGGATGTTCACAGGCCCGGGGTTTCTGATGAGCATAGCGTTTCTAGATCCGGGCAATTTAGAAGGGGATCTCCAGGCGGGCGCGATTGCCGGCTACTCGCTTCTGTGGCTGCTGATGTGGGCCACCGCCATGGGCCTGCTCATCCAGCTGCTATCGGCTCGGCTCGGGGTCGCCACCGGGCGGCACCTGGCGGAGCTCTGCCGCGACGAGTACCCTGATTGGGCTAGGTTGATACTCTGGTTCATGGCGGAGGTGGCCCTGATTGGCGCCGATATTCAGGAGGTCATAGGTAGTGCTATAGCGATTCAGATTTTGAGCCGTGGGGTTTTGCCTCTCTGGGCTGGAGTTTTGATCACTGCTTCGGATTGGTACGGGGTTTGATTTTCCCTCCCCCTTTCAAAATTTGTGAATTAAATGCTTTGCTTCGATTGGGAAAAAGAAGGCAACAAATGAATTGCTCGTTTTACTTTGCTTTAACCTTGATTTGTTCTTTCCACAGTTTCATGTTCTTGTTTCTAGAGAATTATGGAGTTAGAAAGCTCGAGGCTGTATTTGCAATTCTGATTGCTACCATGGGTTCATCATTTGCTTGGATGTTTGGAGATGCTAAACCGAATGGGAAAGAACTTCTACTGGGTAAATAAGAATTGTAGCCTTCTTTTCCATGATCTGTTGAGAAGCTGGTAACGGAGGTGATTGATTTTGGCAATAATTTTGTTACTGTAGGTCTTTTGATACCGAGGCTTAGTTCGAGGACAATTAGGCAAGCTGTTGGAGTTGTGGGTTGTGTTATAATGCCTCACAATGTCTTCTTGCATTCTGCTTTGGTACAGTCAAGGAAGATTGATCCTAAGAAGACGGGCAGAGTTCAAGAGGCATTGAATTACTACAACATCGAATCATCAATTGCTCTTCTGGTGTCTTTCGTGATCAATCTGTTTGTCACGACTGTATTCGCCAAGGGGTTCTATGGCACCAAACAGGCCAACAGCATAGGGCTGGTGAATGCCGGGCAGTATCTCGAAGAGAAGTATGGCGGGGGAGTTTTCCCGATTCTTTACATTTGGGGTATTGGGTTATTGGCGGCTGGACAGAGCAGTACAATAACTGGCACATATGCTGGCCAGTTTATAATGGGAGGCTTCCTTAACCTTCGTTTGAAGAAATGGCTAAGGGCGCTGATAACGCGAAGCTTTGCTATTGGACCTACCATAATAGTTGCCCTGGTGTTCAATAAATCAGAAGCCTCTTTAGATGTTTTGAATGAATGGTTGAATGTGCTTCAGTCGATGCAAATTCCATTTGCTCTTATCCCTCTTCTTACCTTGGTGGCTAAGGAGCAGGTCATGGGGGTCTTCAAAGTCGGCCCTGTTATAGAGGTAAGCTCCTTGCCTCAATGCTTGGCTGATCTATCACTTACATGTATAATTTATCTGATTGGAGCATAGGTTTAGCCATTCTGCTTTCTATAATAGAAAATGTGGAGTTCAATCAAGCAAGTATATATAATTCATTTTAGGGGTCATTTGTTAACCATATATTCTTTTTGTGGCAAGGAGAATACATAGTTTCTGAAAATGCAATGTTTTTCTTGTCTGAATCTGGAATGAAAACGCCTGCATGTATTCTGATAACTTTGTGTTCTCCCAAACATTTCCACTATACACGACTATCGGATGTCCCTAATTACTTGTTTTGGAAACTTGCAGAGGATGGCATGGGCGGTAGCTGTAGTGGTGATGTTGATCAATGGGTATCTCATGATCGATTTCTTTGTATCTGAAGTAAAGGGCTTGCTGTTCGGGCTTCTGGCATGCAGTGGAACAGTTGCATACTTGTCATTCATCATTTACCTTGCTTCACATGGTGGAGTTTTTGCCTCCAGGTCTCCGTCATATGGGGTAGAACTGTCAAAGCAGAATTCGATAGATGGGAATTAACTTCGCATCGATGATATGCTTCGCCAAAAGCTCTCTCTCTGTCCATACTAAACACACGCTGTTGGAGATCGATTTTGAAAAACCCTACTAACCTCAGGTGCATATAAATAACAGGACAGTAATACCCAGATTGAGTTTTATTATATCCCTCAGCGGTTGGCTATACGAAGCAAGAAGAGGTTGGAACAGCAGCTGCTGACATGTATGCAAATTTAGAACTGTGTTCATTGTTCTTTAATGTATGGGTGGCTTGTAGAATATGCAAACTCTCTTAACTGTAAAAATTTTGTGTTCAAGGACTGACATTTTTCAGCAGGAGCTGAAATGGGGTTTGGCGATATCTTTGTCGATCTGCAGAGTCACAGATGAACTGTTTTTATGAGTTTCTCTGAGTTATTTTGATTGTGAGCACATCTGCTGGCAGGCATATTTGTGTACATAGAATTCAGTTCTTTTGAATGAATAGGCAGAACCAGGCGATTAAGCACAACTTATAATGTTTAAATATTGAATTTCTGAGATCACACTCGAACTCTTGGTTACCTGCTAATAAGGTTGAAATTTCACTCAAAATCTCAGAACTTTTGTATACTACAAGAATTGGGATTGAAATATTTTTATGCATGAAAGCAAGATAATTGTGATAGAGACTGAAAAGTTTTGAAAAAAACCCCGAAAACTTTTATGGTTTTATGCATTGACAGGTTATGTAATTTTAGAGTGGTTTGGTTTTTTTATTTTTATTGTTTTAATGGGATTTTCACAATACTTGTATTTTTTAGAATGTATCATTTTTTTTTATGAAGATACAATACGTGTAATGTTTGTTTGATGTGATGTAAATAATTATTCAAAATGAATGATTCTACAATTTCAGGTTTTAGGCGAGTTTATTTTATGTAAATGTGATATTTATTTTATTATTACGTGATACTAAAGAAATGTGAATTTGTGACCTCCGTCTAAAAGATTTGATGTAATTTGATAGTTTGCAAAAAAAAAAAACTACATCGCTTGAAGTCCGGCTACTTTGGATTGCAAGGGCAACAATCATTTTGTTGGTTGACTCATGTTCAAATTGAGAAAACAACACGATACTCAATTGAGTAAATCTTAGTATACATTAATATCTCCTAATAAACTCAATTGGCCAACATTGGTCATCAAAGTTAGACCTGGTTAGATGTTATTGTTCAGTTGGTTCTAGATTAGGAATGACAATGGGGCAGGTCCGGGCGCGGGTGTCTCGATACCCATACTTGTCCCATGGCAGATCGGGTCTAGGTCAGGTAATTTATCACGGGGCACGGGTCGGGGCAGGCCGACCCAATGGGTATGTAATTTATGTGAAAACATTAGAAATATTCGTTCTTTTCATTGAAAGAGCAAGAAAGGAACCATAATATGATAAAATGTAGTTAAATTATTGAAGAAATTGAGGTTTTCACTTATTTACAACTTTATTATAGCTAAAATATAATGTAATAAGAGGAAAATCTTATGTAATTTGACTAAGATTATATGTAGTTTAGGCAATAACGGGTCGAGAATGGGGCGGGTCAGGACAGGTCGGGTCGATGAGAGATACCCATGCCCACCCCGCCTATGGAGCGGGTCACCCGCCCCAAAACATGTCAAACAAGTCGGGAAATAACGATACTTCAATAATCTATTATAACACACGGATATCCTAACAACAAAATGAAAGTTTGAGAATTTGGTCCAAGTTACCAGATCATATAAATAAACCTACGTTTTAGATTGTTTTAGATTAAATGCTCATTCATTGACTCACGTCCAAAATTAGAATACTTACTCAATACATCAACGCGTTAAGGTCCTTGCAGGAGAATAAAGGAGAAATCAGTTATGGTTCAACATATCCTTTTCTATATTTCATGACTCATGTACAACGATCAGCTAAGGGGATGAATCATCCAAGAAACTTACGGGGTCGTTTGGATTGAGTATTTGACAAACTTGTTGTTTGGGGCCAATTACCACACAAATACCACATAATATAAACATGTTATTTGGTATGTGATATTTGGTCTCAAACTTGTTATTTGGCAAATACCTACCCCTCCCAAGTATTTGGCAAACAACACTTTTGTGTTATTTGGTCTCAAACCTGTTATTTGGCAAAACACTACATCCAAATAACACATCCCACTTTTTGTCAGCCAAACATGTTATTTGGGGTCAAATAACAGATTTGTGTTATTTGACCTCAAATAACATCCCCAAATACTCAATCCAAACGACCCCTACATACATTTGTCGAGTAGCTGTGAATCAAGAAGAATAATGGAAGGCGGTGCAATTGGGTTTAAGTAAAAACTGAAAAGAAAGTGAAAGATAAGTCATTCAACGGAAAAATATTATCCATTAAATTGTATAGTATCAACGACAGTATTGAAGACTAAGTCGATAGGGCGTCTTTTAACGGTACTAACGATTAAACTACAGTTAAATCACGGCCTTGCAACTTATCAATATATATTTTATAAAATGAAATACTCTTAAAGTTAGCGCATGTCTGGTGTATAATGATGTACTTTGACGAGTAGGAATGATCGGTTATTATTTTTTATTTTGAGCCGAAGCTTTGTTGAGAATTTTAGCCATCTGACTACGTCAAACATCAGTCTTCTAAGTTCTAATATAATACTATTTTGAATTTGATTATATCTCTTTTATTTCAACTTTAATTTAAAAAGTTTAGTATTGGGCTAATTAGGCCCTGCTGTAGTTTTTTCAGAAGCAGCTTCTGGTTGGAGCTTTTTGTGAGGTACTTTAAAAAAAAAAGCAGTTGAGTGTTTAGTTGAAAAACTAGTAAAAGTGATTTTTAAAATAAGAGGTTATGTAAAATTACTATAAATGATTTATAATATAAAATATGAATAAAATTTATAATTAATAAAAATGAGTCAAAATGAATCTTGTTAGATATTTGTTATATTAAATATTATTATTTTATTTTTTGAAAAATGTAAATGAAAGAAAATTATATTTTCTGCAATAATATTAAAATATGGTACGATAATCTTGTATTTTCAAAATAACTTTTCGCAGAAGCTCAAAATAGGAGTTCTGCTTTCATATTATACAAAACACTTTTAAGCTTTTCAAAAGTCGAGTTTTTAGAGATATTTGGCCCTGCTTAAACTTTTGAAGACGAAAATCACTTCTAAAAGTCAGGCCAAACATAGACATTGTTTTCACTTTACTCGTTATATTGGCATTGAATTAGTTTTTGCATTGGTACTGCTTTTCGGGTAATACTATTGGTTTAATGTTTCTGGTACTAGTTCAGGGGTACTTATATTGTTTTCATTTTACTCGTTGTATTGGTATTGGTTTTTTTATTAGAATTATAATGGTATTAGTTTTTTTAGAGCGACATTTTTTTTTCTTTTCTTAGAATTATAATGATATTGTTTTTTTAAGTGGTCGGAGGAAGGCAGTCGAAAAAATGTGGCCGGAGGAAGTCTGTCAGGGAAAGACAAAGAGTCGACTGGAGAAGCAGAAATGAAAGAGAGACTTAGGAAAGGCAAAGAGTCGAACTGTTGGCTTTGCACCATATCCCGATTTCGACATCGGTTTATTAGATTTTTCAAATTAACTTAGTAACTCTCATTTATCTCCTTGGAAATAAAACATTCAATCCACAATTTGATAATTTTTTGCAATTAATTGTGGGTGACCTTTGAAAACCCAAAATGGAAATGTAGAACACATGGAAATGTAGGGGATGGAAGAGGAAGGAAGGGCTCTCAGCTTTTCTTTCTTCTTCCTTCTCCAACAATCTCCGCGTAAAAGCAACACAACAACATCAAAACCCAAACAGAAACCAAAAAAGGCCCATAAAAAAAGCCCAATCAAAATCAAATCTTCCCCTTTTTCTCCCTCTCTCTCTCTCTCCCTCACTCTGCCTCTTTCTCTCTCTAGCCTCCACGAAAAATGTTACCAAAAATTACATGCAAAATGCTTTTATAGCTCTCTCTCTCTCTTCTTCTCTGACTTCCCCTCTCCCTCTCCCACACTTCAGTCAAGCTTTCCTTTCCCTCTGCGATCTCTGCCTTTCTCCTTTCCTTCCTTCCTTCTCGTTTCTCAGTTACCTTTTCTGTTCCAAACTCCTCCTCCACATTAGAGAGATGGAGAGTCCCATTCCCATTTAGTCTCCTTCCTCCGATTTTCTCTCTATGAAGTCATAACTTCCTCTCCTTATTCTTCTCCCTCGCTATAAATCCTAATTAAAACCCCTTTCTCTTCTTAATCCCCACGCTCACCGCCTCCCTTGCTCTCCCCCAACAAACCCTTTTGCCTCCCGTTTCTTTTTTGCCTCTCCGTCGACGTACAGCGGCGTTATGTTCACCGGCGCTGATGGGTTCTACCCTGCTTCCGCCTCCGTCGGCTCTAACGGCGGAGCAAACCACTCTTTCTCCGCATCCGGCAACAGTCTTCGCCACCTCGATCAAGGCGGCTATACCCTTCCGCTCGCCGGCGGCTACGCCTTCGGCGATCACGTTCAGAACCCGTACAATCAGGAGTCGCTCGAATCGCTGTTCTCGTCGCTCAGCGTTTCCGGCGGCCGCAACGGCCGCGGCTTGAATGGGTTTGCCCTGGATGACAATCTAGGCGGTGGCGGCGGAGTTGGAGGGGGGTTTGTTGCCGGAGATGGCGTCAATTTTAATAATCATCTGGCTTCTTCCAACGGCGGCTGGCTTCAAAATTGCGGCGGGTACGACGCCGACGATCAAGGGTGTGCTCGCCTTTTCAATCCGCCCGCCGCCGCAAGGCAGAATTTCCAGAGCAATGCCGCTGCTGTCAACCCCGCCGTGCTGCGCTCCCTCGAGTTTCGTGATTATCTGCGTAGCCAGATTTTATATGGGTCATCGGAACCCGGTTTCTGGGACGGCGCCGTTTACCCCGCCGCCGCCTATTCCAATCCATATTACAACGATTCAATCACGGGCCTCAACGGGGTCTCTTCCCGTTTCGATTCCTCCTCCGCAAGAACCCTACCCAAGAGGAATTCGAGTTCTAGTTTCAACAACAAGAGGCCTAATCATCACAATAATCATCATCATAATCAGGGCTCCTCTAACGGCGGATTGAACAGCAGCAGTAGCAGCAGGAGGTCCGATTTGCTGCAGGAACAGTCGAACCACACGTCTCTGGAGAATTTCAGGGGCCAGATTCTGTCACTGGCTCAGGACCAACACGGATGTCGGTTCCTGCAGAGGATAATCGGGACCAAAAAGGCTGAAGAAATCGAGATTGTGTTTCTGGAGCTGGTGGACCATGTGGGTCAGCTGATGCTTGACCAGTTTGGGAATTATGTTGTACAGAAGCTCGTAGAGGTTTGCACTGATGAACAGAGGACCCAAATCCTGCGGAGATTGACTAGAAACGAATTCCAGCTCCTCAGCATTTGTCTTAACATGTATGGGTACGTTGAAGAGAGCTGCTTTACTGTTCATACTTCATTGTGCTTAATGGGTTATCGTAAAAAAGCTTCTTTGCTTTGTTTTGAGGATTCGTTATTATATTATTTTGTAATGACTTTAGGATTAGTCAATAGTAGTCTGCAGCAAGTAGTTTGTTTGTTTATTTATTCTGTTTGTTTGTCTGTTTCTGGTTTTTGGTGGTGGGGTTTGAAGGACTCGTGCTATACAGAAGCTGTTGGACCATGTTACAGTTCCGCAGCAAGTCTCTGTAATTATGCCTGCTCTTAGCCGTGGTGCTGTTGCTTTGACCAAGGACATGAATGGTCATCATGTCATCCAGCATTGCTTGAAGAGTTTCTCTCATGAGGACAACAAGGTGAAATGACAAAGGAAAATGAGGATTGGTAATTCTTATGATTGCTTGATTTACTGATTTAAGGTTTTGGTTTCAATGTGGCAGTACCTTCTGAATGAGGTGGCAGACAACTGCTTAGAGATTGCTACAGATAAAAGCGGATGTTGTGTGCTCCAGGTCTGTGTGGAATACTCTCAGGGAGAGACCAGGGATCGCCTTGTGTCCGAGATCATTTCGAATGCACTGCACTTGTCACAGGACTGCTATGGGTATTGGTTTTTTATTGAACATGTTTTTGACGGTTGATCATCGGTTATCCAGTCCGTGATATTCCTCGATATAAGTCCTGAATCATTGTTGTTTTCTTGAATAGCAACTATGTAGTACAGAACATAGTGGGACTTAAGGTAGAGAAAATCAATGCGGCTCTTCTTCAACAGCTTCAAGGTGACTTTGTGAATCTCTCATGCAACAAGTATGGCAGCAATGTGGTGGAGAAGTGTATGTCTGAGACCACAGAAGAGCAATCTACACAAGTTATGATGGAGATGCTTGGTAGTCCCAAGGCTTCTGTGATGCTCGTCGATCCGTATGGAAATTTTGTTGTCCAGACTGCATTGGAGATTACTCAGGTGAGAACCTCCACTAGAGAGCTTCTCAGTAATTCATTTCCTGGAAAGTTTCGGTTTTTTAAATATCGCTGGACTACCAAGTTTGGTTGCGGTCAGTATTGTATTTGACTCTATGTACTACCATGTGAGACATTAAAACTGTTTTGCCTGCTGTTAGACGCACTTTTAAATGCACAGGAAATCCCATTTAGTTGTTTATTCTGATTTTTGCTTACTGTTGTTTTAACTTGCTTCTAATTGATGGTGTTTACTTCGATCTTTTTTCAGGCGAGGCGCCAGACACTAGTCCATTCGGCACTAGTGGAGCTGGTTAGGAGGAACGTCCCAATGATGCGAAGCAACATTTATGGAAAGAAGGTGCTTGCTTGGTTCGGTAAGAGACAATGGCTACACATGTAGCTTACCAAATACACAAGGAGGAGATGGAAGAGACAGGGAGGGAGGGGGGTTGTTTGATTTGTTTTGATGGGAAAATTTGTCTGCAGCTTGTAGGTGTCATAAAAATTGTTGTGTTGTTTTGTTCTCCTGTGGGTTCTGTTCTGTTGTTAAGAGTTTTTCAGCATCTCTGTATGTTTAGCTGTGTAGTGATTTTGATTTTGTCTGTCAGAAGATCATATAGGTAGAGGGCTGCAAATGGTAAGGAGGGGGTGGTGATGAAGAGATTGATAAAAAGGGTTGTCATAGTTCTCTGCAACTCTATTAGGAAGAAGAAAGTAACCTTTTGAACTAAAATGTACGATTGGAGAAACCAAAGGTGGGGGATTCTTTTTTGCCAAACTGTACAGCTTCTTTTGTGATAATTGCACTGTTTGTTTTGCCTTATTTTCTCATGGAAACATACAAACAGGAGTCTCTGATGGTGGTCTATCTTTCAGGGAATAAATGGTTCTGTTTGTTGAGATTTCTCTAAAGAATGTTGGTCTACACTGTCCTTCTTATCAACCCTTTTTATGCCCATATTATCATGTGGCCATATGCTTGTGTAATTGTGTTGATTTTGATGGAGGAGTAAATGCAAAGCGGGTGATGAAGATGAACCCTGCAATGCTATTGTACTAGAAAGAAACTATTTGTTTTGCTGAGCTCTAAAAGGCAAAGCAAAAGTCTACAAGGGTGGTATTAATGAAGGGCTTGTTTGGATGATTGATAAGCTGAATTGGAGATTGAATGTGTCCTGAAACTTGTGTTTTTTTTATTTATTTGAATGGTTCATGATAACCAATAAGTCATGGGTCTTGTTGGAAGGAACACCAACGAACAAGCCTCAATCAAGGTTTGTGATGAAAATCGCAACGATATCAGTATCCCGGTATCAAATACTGAAATTTCGAATACTAAATAGTAACATAAATTTAATTTCAATCTCAATCCCAAAATAAGTTACATATCTTAATTCTCAATCCCTAATATTTTGTTCTCTATTAGTTGTACCAAATACCAAATTAAATCCCTTCAAATTACCAATCAAGTATATTAAAGCAAATACTCCTCATATGGAGTAGCTCTGCAAAACAGTCTCAAAATATATAAAAGCACACAATGGTGCGAAACAAATTAAAAAAACCAATTATAATAACAACAGACTAGGGAAATGTGTATGTGAAGCACATTAACAAATTAAAACAATAAAATACACACTAACATTGGTTGGATATTGAGGAATGAGTTATGTATAATTAAATTGGCATTTTGGTTTTTGAGAGTCTCATAGAAGCAAGCGAGGAAGCCTAGTATTGGGAGCAATAAAATACGCACTAACTTATATTTCAGCATTCATTGGTATATCGCGTTCCCTATCTTGAAATCTCTAATACTAAATAACACTTGAAATTCAATTCTAATCTTGATCATATGAAATAGTATATTTGAAAATATCAAATATCGAAAAAATTTGATATATTCCAAATAACGAAAAATTTGATATATTCCAAATACCGATACTAAACTTTCAACCATAAGGAATGTAACACTCTTAGTGACGCAAGTGAATTTCCGTACTTCTTTGCTTGAAAAATGCTAAAAAATAGAGTGTGCTATTGAAAAACTGACTTATAATACAACATTTCGGGTAAATTCCACATTTCATCACTGAGATTACTAAATTGTGTCATGTTTAGTCACTAGAAAAATTTAATATCAATTTTGGTCACTCGAGTTACTGAAACATGTCATATTTAGTCACTCTCCCGCTAGCCTCCGTCCAACTCCGATCACTCGAATTATTGAAACATGTCACATTTAGTCACTAAAATTACCGAAACAAGTCACATTTAGTCACTCTCCCATTAGTTTCCGTCCAACTCTATTAATGAAGTTGGACGGAAACTAATCGGAGAGTGACTAAATGTGACCTGTTTCAGTAATTCGAGTGACCAAAATTAATATTAAAATTTTCTAATGACTAAATATGACACAATTTAGTAATCCCAGTAACCAAATATGACATTTACAGATAACATTTCAACTTGGGTCATGTACTCATGTGAGAACAGCACTTTCCAAGGAAGAAAACACCTTACCCCTTGATGTAGCTCGTTCCAATATTTAAGTATTCTTATTATTGGTCAAACAAAATTACACAGCAAGGGGTGGTGGCGCAGTTGGTTAGCGCGTAGGTCTCATAGCAATTCTGAGTTATCCTGAGGTCGAGAGTTCGAGCCTCTCTCACCCCATTTGTCGTTTTCTTTTCTCCTCACGTTTTCAGACTCTGCGTTGACTCGATTCCTCTACCTCGAAGTAACTACGCGTCCGTTCCCCATTCGCCATCGCTTCACCGTTATCAACCATTTTTACCGATACAAAATTCCGAAACTTACAACCTAACCGGGGGCGGCACCCAACCACTTCAAACCATTTCTGACTCTCTGTCCCTCTCTCTACCGCCGGAGACGACGGAGCTAAAACACATTCTATCCTCCGCCGTCTCAAAAAACCCTCGCCAGTTTGACTGGGACTTCCTCCGCCGCGGCGCCTGATGGCTCATCCATGGCCGATCCTGGCCGTTTTCGTCCTCATCATGCTCGATTTCCACGGCGTCGATCCCGCGGCCGCCGATCTCGATGCTCCCCGGATGCCGATGATAATCCCGCTCCACCTCTCCGCTCCTAACGTATCCTCTCATCGGAGATCCTTCAACGACGATTTCAACCGCCGGCATCTGCAGAATTCGGACCTTCCAAATGCTCGAATGCGCCTCTATGACGATCTCCTCACTAACGGGTTAGTGCTAGACTCTTTCTCGCAACTTTCCGATCGAATCACTCCCGCCTGATTCTTGTTCTGGACTCTGCCTCTCTTCTGCAGTTACTACACGACTCGGCTGTTTATCGGATCACCACCGCAGGAATTCGCCCTTATTGTGGATACCGGCAGCACCGTGACTTATGTTCCCTGCTCGAGCTGCGAACAGTGCGGCAAGCACCAGGTTTGTTCTTATTCCCACTCTTCCTTGGCTGTTGTAGACAGTTTTAATGCGAGGGATACGAGATAGATATCGAACAAATTTTGCAAGAGAAGTCAATTTGGGATGGATTCTGGGGATCATTTTTTCTTTGCTCAATTGGAATCAAATTAGGTTGAATGGTTGATAGCAACATTTTTTTTGCCACTCTAGGATCCAAGGTTCCAACCAGAGTTGTCAAACACATATCAAGCTTTGAAGTGCAACCCTAGTTGTAATTGTGATGACGATGGGAAGCAGTGCACTTATGAGAGGCGATATGCCGAGCAGAGTTCCAGCAGCGGTGTGCTTGCTGAAGATGTCATTTCCTTCGGCAATGAAAGCAAGCTCGCACCACAGAGGGCTGTGTTTGGTTGTGAAAATGTGGAAACTGGCGATTTGTACAGCCAGAGGGCAGATGGGATTATAGGTTTGGGTCGTGGTCGGCTTAGCATCGTGGATCAACTTGTTGACAAGAGCGTCATAAGTGACTCGTTTTCTTTATGCTATGGTGGGATGGATGTTGGTGGTGGTGCGATGGTACTTGGTGGGATCTCTCCTCCATCTGATATGGTTTTTACGCATTCTGATCCCTATCGTAGGTAAGATGCTTTCTTAAGACTCACGGAAGCATTTGATTTTTTCATTGATTAGGATTTTAGTGCGTCTCACACATTTACTGTAGTTAAATCCATGGCAACAGTCCATATTACAATATTGAGCTGAAGGGTCTGCGAGTAGCTGGGAAGCCATTGAAGATAAATCCTAAAGTTTTTGATGGACGGCATGGAACAGTTCTGGACAGTGGAACTACATATGCTTACCTTCCAGAAGAAGCATTCGTTGCACTTAAAGATTCTGTAAGGAATCTGAAGTTCAGCTCAGCTCTTTATGTATTTAGTCATATTATGCCGTTCATCTTTATGTCCTTTAAGCTGTACCATCCATGATCATGTCTTTTGTGGTTATAATTTGGTACTAATAGTTGCTTGAATATCTTTTTTTTGTTTCTTTGCACACTAGGCTATAGTACTGGTATTATGCTTCTTCTTCATAGCCATGTAGTCAACCACAAACTGTTTATATTCCTTGGTTTTGTACGTTATGCAGCTAAGTTAATTTCAGTGGTTTGTTTCTACGATGGTTCTAGGTTCCATGTCTCCTGGTTAGAGTTTATGCTGTATTAGTTAGTTCCATATAGTTGTTAGTTTTGAAACTTTTACTTTCAGACTGGTCTTTCAAATTGACAGAATGTATTGAACAGTTTGCATATCAATTATCAGGAATTTTAACTTTTTGCTGTTGATGAGTTATCAACTTATCACTACTGATTCCTGCAGAAGTTGCATGCATATCTGCTTGTGCTGAACATGTACCCATTAAACCTTGGCGTTTGAGATAAATTTCTTCAGATATGAGGCCTGTTTTAAACGAAAGATTGTTATATGCTCCATAGTTTTCAATTGCTCAAGGATTTGCCTGGTCTTTCTGATTCAGCTACAAGTAGGAACATTCTAAACCGCTATGTTCTCATTTCCTACTGCGGTGTCGAAAAATGCAGATAATGAAGGAAATTAGTGTTCTCAGACAGATCCATGGCCCTGATCCAAACTACAATGACATATGTTTTGCTGGGGCTGGAAGGTATGGCCTATTACCTGAAATAATATTGTTCCCGATGTCTTTCATCTTTCTGTCCATTAGTTGAGAGTTGGGGATTACTCCTGATGTTGAGCTTTTGTTTTGGTTGAAATTTTATCTAGGGAGATCTCTGAATTATCAAAGATTTTTCCAACAGTGGACATGGTGTTCAGCAATGGTCAATCATTGACATTATCTCCAGAGAATTACCTCTTCCGGGTAAGACTTAAGCAACTTCCACACGATCTTATGACCCCTTTTTTGTTGCTTTAATTATTACCTCTTCCGGATAAGACTTAGGCGACTTCCACACGATCTTATGGACCCCTTTTTTGTTGATTTAATTTGATTGGTTCTACCTCGCTAGTTCTCCTCTATCACCACTGAGTTTGTTTCACAACTTTCACTTATGCAGCACACAAAAGTCAGTGGTGCATATTGCTTTGGGATTTTCCAGAATGGAAAGGATCCAACTACTCTTTTAGGAGGTAGTAAACACAAATTCACTCGTTGTGTCTATCCTCTTGAGTCTTGAGCCTTCAAATCCTGGAAGGATGTGGTAAATGACAACTCTCTTCTTTTGCTTTTCTTTCACAGGAATTGTAGTTCGCAATACGCTTGTAACATACGACCGGGAAAATGATAAGATTGGATTTTGGAAGACTAATTGCTCTGAGCTATGGAAGAGACTGCAAGTTCCTGGAGCTCCTGCCCCAGCACCTAACAGTTTGCATATGAATAATACTAGTAACGGGAGTCAAAATGTGCCTCCTGTTCAGCCACCCAATGGGCTACCTACAAAGCACATTCCAGGTAGATTAACTTTTCGGGGCTATTACCAGGGTATTTTATTGAATTTTCTTTAATGCAATCTGTTAGTCTGCGTAATGTTTTTTAATTTGGCTAAAATATGTTGGAGTTTGTCTGAGAATTTTACATCCGGATCTATAATGTTTAGGTGAAGTGAGAATTGCAATTATCACATTTGATATGCTAATTGTGGTCAATGACACCTCCACAAAGCCCAACCTCACAGAAGTGGCTGATGTCATTGCTCATGAGTTGGAAGTGGACAACTTGCAGGTATCATCCTACCATCTATCTTGCCCTCTTTGGTTTTTAAGTTCCTATGAACTATGTTCATCAGGTAGCGCTATTCTTTCTTCTTTTGGAAGTCATTCGTTTTACTTGTGACTGAGAATCTCGTGGCCCGAATCTATGCAACATAACTGTCGTAGTAGTGTAACTGAATATTACCGAGACAATTCGTGAATTCTCAGGTGCAAATGTTGAATGCCACACTACGAGGAAAGGAGTACCAGGTGAAGTGGGCCTTGTATCCTGCTGCATCAGCAGAGTACATCTCTAATAGCACAGCAATGGTATTCCATAATAACAAGACAATTTGTGCAGAACTCAATGTATGATATTTATTGAAGCTAATTTCTCTGGTTTGTGGTTTGCTTAGAGCATCCTTCTCCGGCTGAAGGAGCATCGCTTGCAATTTCCTAAGAGATATGGGAGCTATCAGCTGGTTGAGTGGAAAGTCGAACCTCAAAGAAAGCTGTATGCCACATTCACATCCCTCTTCCTCCTCCCCCACCTCTAAATTTCATCGCCCCTACCAATACTAAAATGGGCAATCTGGTGATCTTGAATCAGGTCCTGGTGGCAACAGCATCTCGTGGCGGTGGCCATCGGGATATTGGTCACCGTGGTTATCGGTTTATCGAGCCTTGGTGTATGGTTGGTGTGGAGACGTAGGCAACAAACCTTGGGTACATATGAACCAGTAGGTGGGATTGTTCCTGAGCAAGAGCTTCAGCCATTATGATGACTTGCGACGGATTCTACCCGTGACCACAGTTCTTGTAGTACCATAGGTAAAAAGAGAAGCCGTTCCCTTTCTCAGTCCGGTAATTACAGACATTCGAAGGATGGTGCCCTTTTCCACAAGCTGTTCTGTTTGTATACCATAATAGGAAACATTCACCATTGAGTTTGCTTTGCATAGGGATTTTGGTTGGACTGATAAATTTCATTAACTGGAGCTGCCTACTTTTTGTTAATGATTGTATGACTGAAATCGTACTGGAAGTTATACTGGAAAAGTTAGTGATATTGTATTTTGTACGAAAATTGTGGTTGAATCATCTCGTACCGCTAATTCCGTAATATCGTTTGGTGTACGATGTTCGGGATTATAACATTGCTTTGGTACTTCGAGGTAATTGGAATTAGTAGGGTTGTATGGAGAATTTGTGTTTCCTTGTCGTCATCTATTATCTGGTTATTGATGCGGGATGTTACTGGTCGGAAGGTCGACATTGACTCTATCGTATAATTTGTCACCAAAATTTTTGTAAAATCGTACTTGATATTGTACTGAATAAGTCTGTTATAAAGTATTTTGTTTTTATATCATGGTTTAACTGTCTTATACTTATACTGGTAAAAACCCTATATCCATTTTGACTCCAACAAGCGATTTTTTCAGTAGGACCAGGGCAAATTTAGGAGTTGAAGTAGTAAAAGAGAGAAGTAGTGAGGGGACCAGGGCAAAGTACGAATAGTCCATACACGAAAATGCTCTGCTCTCTGGCATTTGCATCATCGTACACAGGAAAAGTCCCAACTCCCACATGATTTGTTGCAGTTGTTGTTGGACAATAATATAACATCCAACCAACCAGCCCTCTTCAATCCAACTCCATTTCCCCTTCAACGAAACAAGTAGCCATGTCCACAAAAAGCTAGTAGCCATGTCCACAAAAAGCTAGTAGCCATATAGAGAAATAATAATAACAGTCATAGTCGATTAATATACCCATATATATTAAAACGTTGCATCAATTCTTTAATGGAGGAGGATTGACTGGTGAAAGGTACAATATTGGATCTTTAATTTTCAGTAAAACGAAGAGCGCTATGAATGATCATTTTTCTTTTTTGCAAACATGTACTTTATGTTTTGGAAATGTAAATGATGATTTATTAACTCTTTAATAGTTAATACTCTTCTTTCCTCTAATAAATTCGTATATTTGACTCAAAATCTCAATACCCTTGCATCAAAACTGCAAAACTGCTAGACGAGCGTTTCTTATACTTCCGTTTGAATTCGAGCTTCATGAGAAACACCTTTCTCATCATCACCGTTATGTTTCATCTTACTTCTCGATCTAATCCATACCCAAATTGCCATATAGCTAATTACTTATATTCATAAAACAGGGAAAGTATGCTTATGCAAGTAAGCAACACACAAATCAACCAAAACACACACAAGAAGAAGAAGAATGAACCCAAAATATCAACAAACAAACAAACAGTCAAACACCCAAAATCCCCCAAAACATACTCATATCGTACCATAACCAGGTTTTTACTTTTTACATAAAACAGAGTAACTAATCACACATGACAAATTTTTTTAAGGGCACTTGGGCTTGCCCTTGGAGTTCTTCAAATCCCTGTAACAAGGGCACTCGTGCTTGTTGCCGTAAGTCCCCGAAGGCACGCACTGGCACTTGTCGCAGCAGATCCCGCAGTATTTGAGGCACCTGTCCATCACCCCTGCTTTCGCGCACCTCGCCCCGCACTTGGAGTCACAAATCCCTGTTCGTTTCGCTACACCATTTTACATTTCCAGAACCAGAAGTAGTACAACAAATTGCTTAGAAATGGCAATTGTAGTAGCTAATTGATTAGTACCTGAGCCGGCGGCGACTGTGACATCGAAAACAGAGGAGGCGAGGAGAAGGCAGAGCAGCAGAAGTGTTGCGGCTGTAGCGGACTTCATTGTGTGGGGGGAATGAAAGGGAAATGTTGGTTTGTGGGTTTCTGGGTTTTGCTAGGAGGAGAAGAAGAGAAGGAAGGAAAGGAGTGAATGTGGAGAAGAGAGAATGGTTGTTTGTATTTATAGGCCGTCGACGGGGCTAAAAGGCCATAATTTGAAGGGTAGGTGAAAGGGACTCAGGAGGAAAGTGGCCGCTGCTTGAAGGGAAAGGGATGGACCGAACCGACCACATTGCCTTACAGTCTGTCTTCTGTTTTTTTTTTTTTTTTTTTTTTATGGTTCTCTCCTGGGGTTTTCCATGATCATCATGATGGAAACTCTGTTTCTTCCTTTTCTTTTTCTTTTTCTTTTGAAGAGGTTTCAATTTGAAGACTACAAGCACTCTCTATCGTCCTGATTAATCTAGATTTTGGTAGAGTACGCGGTGAAATACATTTGTGAAAGTTTATGTTAAGCCATTTCTGTATTTGGGATTTTGTTGTGATTATTGTTTGTTTTCATTTCGAGATAGTTTGACAGGGTTAGTTTAATTGTTAACGTGGGATTTGTAAAGTCAGGTATCTCATTAATTTGTTCATTTGGTATTCAATGTTATTTAAGTGGTAGTTGAGTTAAAATATCTTGTTTAGCTAACCATTTACATTTGAATAGCATGTGGTATTTGACAATAATAGATGGTTTAAAATGAGTTATTTTCAAAAAACATATGATGTATAAGTTATTTCAAATAAATAATGACTCATTTAATTCATCTCAATAAAGTGTTGCCAAACAATTTACTTTTGGTTTAGGCAAAAATAACCCACCTAAAAAGCACATCCAAACGATCTATTATAGTATTTGTCCTCTTATATATAGAGATGATTATCAAATAAATACGTTGAACGATCTAAACTTATTGTTTGTACATCACATTTTGCTTCTAAGGAATCTTCATGAGAAACAAAATATTCATTTGTCAACCATACTATTCAAATGTGAGTGTTTTCGCATAATTTGTGTTATCATGGCAAGCATAAATTTTCACCTTTACGCAAACTTTCTTAGTATATGGACCTAAAGTTCTACAACTACATTACAAACGAGGAGATAGAAATGTGGAGGTTTAACTTTAACCAGAACTCGAGTTCAAAAACTCAATAACGTTTGCTTCCACTTGATATCGCTAAAAAACCTTTATCATCGCCCACATTCATGTATAGCTTAAGGATTGGCTAGAATTGCTTTAGCTGCTCTAGAATATTAATTGTCATGATCCACAATGGCGGAGCTAGGAATCGAAGCTAAGTGTTTTTTTCAGGATATGAATTATTCCTATTGGAAATTTCATTTTTTTGTATAATAAATCAATTTCATGGTAACCAAACGACAAGAAACGAGCCTTAATACAATGACAAAATGTTCTTATATCATCTCAAGACGGTGAGTTTGATCACCTGTACTTACAGCCATAAAAATCACTTATATTCATAAGATAAAAGCAGGGGAAGTGTCAAGTGAGCACATATATAGTAAGCAATACACATAAACCAAAACACACATAAGAAAGAAAGAAAGAAGAAGAGTAACCCAAAACATCAGGGTTTTTTTTATACATAAAACAGAGTAATTAATCACACATGACAAATTTTTAGGGGCATTTGGGCTTGCCCTTGGAGTTCTTCATGTCCCTGTAGCAAGGGCACTCGTCCTTGTTGCCAGAAGTCCCAGAAGGCACGCACTGGCACTTGTCGCAGCAGATCCGTATCTTCATTAGCCGGAAGGAATTTGTCTCCACTAGCGTCATTCGAAGAACGCACAAGAAAAGGGTAAGAGAACTCGCCTGGAAAGACACTCTCAAAGGCTGTAAACTTTCTCCCAATGGATTAGATTAAGCTTAATACTAGCTTGTCTGCGAACCCTAGGAGCTTGAAGAAGCGAGCCCCTCTCAGAGAAAGCCATTGCGCGCTAGCCTAGCTAGGTAGCGTTTTTCAGCTGGCGTGAATATTGTCTGTCTTTCGATTTAGTTCCAAGTCTTCGATGTCCCTCGGAGACTGACAAGAGTCAGAATGGGTACTAACCTAGTAGTAGAATTCTATTGATGATGAGCGGGCAAAAGCCCCCGGATCCCCCGGCCCGCAGTACTTTAAGCACCTGTCCTTCACCCCTGCTTTCGAGCACCTTACTCCGCACTTGGAGTCACAAATCCCTGTTCGTTTTCGTCGTACCACAAGAATCGCCGTTCATTTCCAGAAGTACAGAATTGCCAAGTAGCGTGGTAGAAAAACGGCAATTGTAATTAACTACGTACCTGAGCCTGCGACTGCGACCTCGAAAACAGAGGAGGCGAGGAGAAGGCAGAGCAGCAGAAGCGTTGCGGCTGTAACGGACTTCATTGTTTGAAAGGGAATGAAAGTGAATTTGGGTTTGTTGCTTTCTGGGTTTTGCTAGGAAGAGGAGAAGAACAGTTTCGGAAGGAAGGAGTGAATGTGGAGAAGAGAGAATTGTTGTTTGTATTTATAGGACGACGGCCGTAATATGAAGGGTAGGTGAGACGGTCAGGAGGAAAGTGGCCGCTGCTTGAAGGAAAAGGATTAATGAACCGAACCGGACCGACCAAAATTGCCTTCCAGACTGTTTTATAGGGTTTTTAATCTTTGAGATTTCAATTTGAAGGCTTCAAGCACTCTGTATCGTATTTGATAATATAACTTGTGACAGAGAATATGGTGTCGAAATAATAGAAAGGAGGTGTGAAATACATTATACATGTGTCAATATTGAGATACGATGATGTTGAGTTATTTTTTATATTTGAGATTTTGTTATGATTGTTGTAAGTTATACAAGTAACTTATTGTAAGTTATTTGGACCAATATTAATCTCCTGAAAATCTCATCCAAAAAGATCCCTTATAGTATTTGATCAATTTGTTGTATTTGGGCAATTTACATATACAAAGTGAGTAATCATTATCAAATAAATATGCGGAATAATATAAATTATATAAAAATATACATGATCTTTTCGATGAGGAATTCGAGATCGAATTTACCTCTTATAAGTTATAACTAATTTTCACAACTCAAATAAAATAACATACTTAAATAACTCTAATACGCTCAAATGAAATTTTTTTTTTTTGGGAAAGGGTGATTTCTTATCGTTTAGTCAACTCAATTTACAACGTAAAATTGAATGTGATTCTGAATTATACTCATATTCTATTGGAAACTAATAATGGCAGATGACTTTTAGGGGTAGAGTTCGGATCATTCTGGAACCTCATTGTTCCTAAAACGTCAACTTGCCTTTTAATTATCTGATGACGGGGCACATATTTATGTAGAGTATAATCACCACTATACCTAATTGAATGATTGTGTGGCTTCTAAGTAAAAAATTCATGTCATATACACAAAGAGAGGAACAACGATTTTATGACTTTCTCTCTTTCGTTTCACTCAAAATGTTTTTTTCGACCAATTAATAATTACGAAAGTATCATATTATATTTCACATTTTGCTTCTAAGCATTCTTCAAAACGAACAAAAATTCATTTGTTAACCATACTATTTAAATGTGAGCATTTGTACATGATTTGTGTTTTCATGGAAAGTATCTTCACTTTGTAACATCGAAAACCTAAAATCATGAACCCTTGCTCAGGCAATATCAAACATTTTGTAAAATTGTTCACGTTGTTGTTTGTTATCATAGAGAAATAAAAGACTTTTGACTTAAAAGACTTTTGGACTACGGGTCGAACACAAAATGATCTGTTAACTATGCCCGATCCTTAGTTTCGTTGACAAAAGAAAACAACTCCCTTTTATTCATAGAGAAATTATTGCTTCGCCCTTTATAATTGGGACGGTTGTTATCGAAAAATACATTGTTTTTTTGAGTTATAGGTATAATATGTCTCTCTACTATGACGTTTTATCAAATATGCCCTTCTACTATTTTTTATATCAACTGTACTTTGTAAAAATGATCAAACATACCCTTTTATTTAAATTTTCATCAAAAAAACGTTAACCAAGGTCGAACTTTGGTTTGGGCGGCACAAATGTCTAAAATAATTTCACTTTTATAATTTTTTTAGTTCTTTTGTATAGCCAAATAATTCGAATAATTTCACTTTGAATAGACCCAGAGAAATAAAAACGGGAGACAAAACTGACATTTTCGCTCCCATTTGCCGATGTCGGTTCGTCTAAATCTCGGTTCAACCATGATTGGCGACTTTTTCAAAGGAATTTTAACAGAAGGTCATGTTTGATAATTTTTCCAAAGTACAGGGGCATGTTTGATATAAAAATTAGGGTTAATACCCTAGTTTGACATGAAATTTAGCGTATATGTCAGTTTTGGCCCGATTTTTCTAATAAGACATTTATGGCCTACTTTGCAAATTATTGGACAACTTTGGCCTGAAACTTATGTTGACTGTTAAAACTGACGGTCAACTATTTTTCTGTCGGTTACTCAGCATCAAAATGCTGAGTTGGATCCAAGGTGGCTGCCACATCATTTATTTAGATTAAAAAATTCAAACTAAAAACAAAAACAAAAAAAACCCAAAATCCACTCTCCCATCTCCACCCTAACTCCCTCCCCTCACGACCCAATTCAACCCCCCACCCAATCGGAATCCCTAACCATCATCGCAACCTATCTCACCACCATTCCCATCTTCAGCTACCCTCACTCCATCTCCCCTACCGTTATTTTTGCCCGTTCGCTTCTGGTGCTGCTCCTTCGAGATCCCGTCCACAATATCAGAAGCCGCTGACGGTACCTCTTCTGCGGAGGCAAAACGGGGAGCGCTAGTGGCGGCGGCGGCGGTGCGACGCACATTCATCCGGCGAGCGCAAGTTGCCGAACCAAAGGGAAGGGGATTGATTGATGATCTCCCTATCCCAGATCTGCCGATCTTGTTGCCGAACCAGTAGGCGGCGGGGCGATCCTATGGCAGAAGAAACAGCCGGAGATGATGGCGACGACGGCGAGTTAGATTGGACAACGCCGGCATGTCTTGGGTGGCGTCGACGTTGGGGATTGATTCGGATTGGAAGCGACTGGTGAGGCCTTCTATGGCGGCGGGTTGTGGGTTTCATTTAGGGCGGGGAATTTCGCCAGGGCCGGGGAGAAGAAGACGGGACGGCGGCGCTGAGTTTTAATTAAGGTGGCGAATTGGGTGCGGGAGAAAGAGGGGAATGGGCTGGCGGGTTAGATTATTTAGGGTTCATGTGTGAAATTGTCCAGTTGAGAAAGAGGGAATTGTTTTAATGTGTTATTTCTTTTTTTTAATTGAATTAAAAAATTAAAAAAATATTATTTAATGACGTGGCATGCCAAATCAGCTGTTTTTGGTTGAGTCACTAACGGAATAGTGCTTGACTGTCAATATTAACGGTCAAAGAAATTTATAGGCTAAATTTGTCCAATAGTTTACAAAGTAGGCCAGAAATGTCTTATTAGAAAAGTCGGGCCAAAACTGACACTTACGCTAAACTTCGGGCTAAACTAGGGTATTAACCCTAAAAATTAATAGAGGGACATGTTTGATAAAACGTCATAATAGAAGGGCATATTATACCTATAATTTTTTTTTTTTGTCAAAGTGCACCATTGATGCATGGTGTGAAAAGCCAGCCTGCCTCTTAAATTAGAAGCCTCTGGAAAAAGGCGAAGAAGCAAATACTAGAGATGGACTGAAAGAAACGGAAAAGCTATAGCAAACGCGTTATTACCACTCTTCTTTTATTTCTGTTATCCGATCCTTTAAGGCAGATTATTAGAGCTATAGATTGGAAAAATGGTGATGGTCGGCTTGGCTTGGCTTGGCTTGGCTGGGAAGGGCTTTTGGCCTCTAACACTAACAGCGTGCCTTGTCACGCCATTTGTTGCTAAGCGCGAGCATGCTGTGTCAACACAACAATCAACATAACCTTTTCTCTTACACCACGAAAGAGAAGCGGGTTGCAAATTTAGAGAAAATCAGAAATTAATTAAATCTAAAAAAGTAATTCTGTTATTTGACAGAGAATTATTATTATTAGAATAATTAAACCGCAAGTTTACAAAAATTACAAAAAAAAAAAAAATTGAAGTTATTGTTCCTCGAGAAAAAATTGAAGTTTTATGATCGCCCACGGACAGTTCTAGGTAAGTCTGGGTTACCACATTGCGCTGGGTTTCCTTATTATTGCCTACTATATTCACCATCTCTATCTATTTGCATTACACATTAAAATTTTGGTAAGATAATTTAATCTTATATAACAGTTTAACCAAATGTAAGATAGGTTGCTTGATTTTATTATTAAACACGCATTATGGAAGATGATGTAACATGTTCTATAATAGTTATTAAAATACAGTCCATAAGAACTTATGAAGGTTGGTGGAATAGTTACGTTATTTCTCATGTTGTATAACAAGTCTTCCTCGGCAAAGCGCGGGCAACAAAACTAGTGTCTTATTAGAGGACGAGAGATCCAATCAACTATAACATTAATCTCTTCCATATATTTGATATTTGCATAGTTTTAGAAATTAGAAAGTATAAGACTTCAATTAAAGGCGAAGGGGGAATCCCTTATAAAGATGTTATAATTCGACATATCTCTTGGTGGAAATTTTTGTGTGAGATCCAGGTTGGTGAAGATAATTATTCTTAGTAAGTCATTAATTATATATACAATACCAACCAAAGTACTTAAATCATATTGGAGACCATAATAATTTTGTCATATATACCGAATACCGATCATTATATATAGAATAAATGATGAAGTAAATTATTTGAGAGAAACCGCGTTAGTTATAACTTATATATATGGCATTGCATGGGGCCAAATAGTTGCTGGCAGCTGGTGCGTCTGTCGTACATGCATGGTGTGAAGTTTTTTTTCTTTTCTTTTTTTATAATTGTAATGACGTGTCAGGAGAAGCCGAACAAAAGATGGAAATTTACCAAACTTCTAACCTTATCTCTCCCTCTCTCCTTCATTGCCTAGTTGCTCTTATTCTGTTTGAGTGACGATATGCGTTTGGCAGCGGTTACAATTTGATTATCTTGAATCATGTTTAAATAAAGCTACTATTATAAGTTAATTAATCAAAAATATTCTCACTACCAAGAATCAAGTGGAGCACAATATTATTGGTTTATTATAGCGGTCATAATGTAATTTGTTCATATAAAAAAGAAAATTAGAGATCAAAATATTGACTTCTACAGTTCTACTTCAGTAATCACTACAGATATAGGTGCCAAATGGAGTATTTGAATGCTTATTATGGATGGTTGTATGTATCTTTGTTGACTTTCACGACAAATTGTTAAAATTTATATTTAATTTTAGTGCATTAATTTTAGGCAAAACAATTATTGAATGTACCAGATTCTAAGGAAATGGGTAAGTATCAGGCATGCATGGCATCTCCCAACAACTCGAGT